ATTGCAATACTTGTATATATCTGCTTAATATAATGGATGTATGAACTGTTATCAGACATGTAAGAGCCCCCAATAAAATGATTTATTAATAAACAAAATTACTGCCCTATATTAAAAATTGTCAGATGCACATGTATTTGTGCCCACAAACTCACCATATAATAGTCTAGTGGGCAATGAGGAAGGCTGACAGATAAGAATAACAACCAATGGCCTCAACAGTTTCTGTTGGTCCAGACTAGTCTGGACCATAAGCTGCACTGTCAACAGAAGAGCACACTACATTGATGATATATGATTATCTCTGAAATGTTGAATCAAGCTAAAAGGGCCTTTTCTAAGGCCATAAGCCTTAGGACTGATTGGGGATGATTGATTTATCTTGCTAACATCCAGGGACCTGCACAGGCTATGAAATTTTGGGAAATGACATTGGTTGGAGTAATTTGAGACATTCCACAGACCACTAGGAATACATTGAACACCTAGCAGAATGAATTGGCTTTTAGAGAAATTATTTTCCCACACTTAAGGGCACTATTGGCCTCAGTTCATAAAATAACCCAGGGGGTAAAAAAGCCTTAGAATATTAGATGTCCGGGGAGGAGATGAGCCAGTCAGGGTGCGATGTAACAAAGATGAGAAATACAATCTTCCTCTAGTTCCTAAAGGTTTCCTCCCCGCTCCCACTACCATGACTCGAATTCTATCTTGCAAGACTGGCTAGACCAGAGGAGGTACACTGGTACAGATAGGAACTGAAAATACAGGGAATCCAGGACGGATGAGCCCTATAGGACCAGTGGTGTGAGTGGCAAAACAGGGAGGGTAAAGGGAGAATGGGTAGGAAAGAGGGAACCGATTACATGGAACTGTGTGTGACCTCCTCCCTGGGGGACAGACAACCGAAAAGTGGATGAAGGGAGATGCCGGACAGGGCAAGATATGACAAAATACCCATTTATAAACTATCAAGGGCTCATGCGGGAGGGGGGAGCGGGGAGGGAGGGGAAAAATGAGGACCTAATGTCGGGGGTTTAAATGGAGAGAAAATGTTTTGAGAAACGATGTACAAATGCGCTTTACACAATTGATGTGTGTATGGATTGGGATAACAGTTGTATGAGCCCCTAATAAAATGTTAAAAAAGAAAAAAAAAAAAGTAAATACATATGTATGTACAATATTAATAATAAAAATTAAAAAAAAGAATATTAGAGCTCAAATTATTCTGACAGGATAGCTCAATGCTACTGCTGAAATGACATTTCAGGTGCCCGCCCGTTACCTGCAGTTCTGATGAGTGGTGTCTCCAGCAGGAGCCCAAAGGTCAAGACCTCTGGGCTTTGGGGTTAAGAAATGATCAGATGCTGTCTCGCAGTGTACGCTCTGGGAAAGGCAGTTCCTGACTTGTTACTAGACATTTACTGAGACGATAAAAGACTATACCGAATATTAAGATCTGAAATACACATCACATTATGTGGCTTAGTGTGAAAGCAGCTGCCATGAGTCCAACAGAAGGTAAAAATCTCAAGGAAAAAGGTGAGACCAAGCCAGTCTAGTGACTCATTAGTCATATAAGCTATATTCCTGGCACTGAGAGGAGAACTACACACAGATAAAAACCCTATAAAGGACAAACAAATCTGTCTTGGAAGTTCGGCCAGAATGCTCCTTGGAGGCAAGGATGGGTATACTTCATCTTACATCCTTTGGACATGTTTTGGGAGAGACAGTCCCTGGAGAAGGAGACCATGTTTGGTAAAGTGGAGGGGCAGTGAAGAAGAGGAAGGAACAGTTGTGAGGACGGAACAGGACTGTGCAGTTTCGTTATGTTGTGCACTGGGTGGCTATGAGTCGGAACCAACTATATGGCATCTAACAACTACAGCATTTGGGGTTTACATAGTGACTTGGAATTGCTCTAACCACTGCAGTATACATAACTGGACAATAAGCATACCTCATGTGGCACAACGCTCTTTGGAAATCTCTATGAAAATTCCAAGGATGAATCAAAGTAGGGTATCTTGATGCTCAATAAAGAAACGATGCTTTAAAGGTGATCAGAACCAACAAGTTGATGGCTTAATATTTTTCTTGAATTGGCAATTAAATGTCCAGCTGTGGTATAGTTATCTAATGTTGCTGTAAAAAAATACCCAAATTTTAAGAACAGAAATGTACTGTCTCTCACTTTTACAGGCTAGATGATCAATCAGGGCATTGGCTTTAGGGCAGTTTGGGAAAGTGAATTCCTTTAAATGTGGCCATTGGCCATGGTTCTTTGGAAAAACAGTTTGAAAGATTTCCTCCCTAATCCCTGAGGAGTTCACTTTGTTTTGGGTTTCTACCTCAGGGGATGTGTTACTTTTGTCCAGGTTGATTGAGGTTTCCTGGGGAAGTGGTCCACAAGTCGTGGTTTGGTACTTTTGGTCTGGCCTTACCTGCAGCCTGCCCTAAGTGGCAAGTAACTTGCAGGGATTATCAACAGAGTAAGTCAATAAGTGACTAACGCCTACTAAGCAAATGAAAGGAGGCAAGGAACCTTCTAAAAGAGCTTAACATGGTCAAGGGCTGTAACACGAAGACAACATTGGGGCCAGAGAGGGTTCGGTGGCAGAGCCCATCCTTAGGGGTCCAAGAGGAGCCTGTCCTGAAGGGGCTGAGAGGAGGGTAAAAGGAGGCCTGTCCTCAGAGGCTTAGTGTGGATTGGATGGCTGCCAGGAGGCACACACAGTTGAGATGCTGAGAGCTGTCCTGCAGGGAACAAGGGAGACTTTGCGTATATGCCTCCTGATCCTGAGCTGTATCTTGTTCGATAATAAACCAGTTAACCCTAAATATGCTCCTGTGAGTTGTGTGCGACTGTTCCAAAAGATGATCAAACCCAGCAAATGGTGCCACAGAAGGGAAAGCGGGTGTCAGAGGTGGTGAAAGGACTGGAGAAGGGAGGGCTGCCTGACCTCCACTTCATAGGAGTCAGAGTTAGGTTGATTTTAATTCTCATTATGATGCTAAGACTTATGCTTCCACATTACTGGTTTCGTTTTAGAAGGAGGGTCCCTCCTTATACGTCTTTCTGGATATTCCTGGCTTGCAGATGATTTCTCACAAGGTCACTTCACGGCGTGTCTCTCTGTCTGTCTGTTTTCTCTTTTTATAAGACACAGCTCAGAAAGGATTAGATCTAGGACCCACTCTACTCTGGTCAGAGAAGAACTGATATATTTGACTTATGGAGTTAGTGAAGGTATCCCACCACTTGCCTGTCAGTTTGTCGTACTGTGGTGGTCTGTGTGTTCTGTGATGCCGGATGCTATGTCACTGGTATTTCAAATGCAAAGCAGGGTCACAAAAGTGAATAGGGATCAGGACATGTCAGAAAATACCAGTGCCTGGACATAATGCTTGGTAGAGTGGAGGAGTGGCGAGAGAGAGGAAGGCCCTCAGTGAGATGGACTGACACTGTGGTTGCAGCAATGGGTTCCAGTCCAGGAACAGCTGTGAGACCGGTGCAGGAGTTTTCATTCTGTCGTTCATAGGGTTGACATGAACCGACTACACAGCACCTAACAACAACAGCATTTGAAGGCCGTGGACGGCCAGAACGAAGAAATCGGCCATGGAGGAAGCACCACCAGAATGCTGCACAGAAACAAGGGTGGTGACACTTCTCCTCCTGTGCTTTCAGGAGAGAACAGTCCCTGGAGAAGGACATCGTGTTTGGTACAGTGAAAAAGAGGAAGGCTCTCGAGGAGATGGACTAACCAAGTGGCTGGAATTGTGAGGCTGGCACAGGACTGAGTAGCATATCATTTTGTCATGCATGGGGTTGCTGTGAGGTGGAGGTGACTCGGCGGCATTTAACAATTACTACTACTAGTCTGGGGTGGTCTTCTTAGCCTAACAGAAAACCCTTCTTTCTGAATAAGGTCATCCTTACAAGTACAGGGGTTAGGACTTTGGCAATTAAAATGCCCACAGTGCTGTGGCTCAAGAATACTGATACTGATGATTTGTTCTCAGTCTCTATCAGACCCCCAGAGGCTCTGCTGCGATGTAATAGAAATATGCCATATGACCAAGAAAACCTAAAAATCCTTCGCTGAGGTTCCATTGGTGTCCAGTTCATGAGAGAAAACACAATCTGCTCCTGACCCTAGTGAGGGAGGACAATAGGAGCCTGAACATGGCTTCTTCAGACCTCCTGGCTCTGAGATGGCCGCTGGCTGTGATGTCTATGGCCTCACTTAACGCTGCCGCTATCCTGTACCCCTTTCCTAGAACAACCTGCAGATATGGAAGCAATGCTGTTTTGAAGAGGAGCCCTCATAGCATAGTGGGTTACATGTTGGGCTGCTAGCCACAAGGGTAGCAGTTCTAAACTACCAGCCATTGTCCAGGAGAAAGATGAGGCTTTCTGTTCCCGTGAAGAGTTACAGTCCAATATAAGCCATCTGTATTGGAAGAAGTAAGGTCAAGTGCTCCCTGAAGGCAAGGGTAGCAACACTTCATCTTACAGTTTGGATATGTTGTCAAGAGAAAGCAATCCCAGGAGGAAAACATTGTGTTTGCTAAAGTGAAAGGTGGCGACAAAGAGGAAGGCCCTCAATGAGATGGACTGAGCAGTGGCTGCATCAATGGGGTCAGGCACAGGAACCACTGTGAGGATGGCGCAGGACCAGGCAGCGCTTGGGTCTGTTGTGCCTGGGTGGTCGCTATGGATCGGAGTCGGCTTGAAGGCACCTAACAACAACAACATGCTGCTCCAAGGAAAAACAACTAAGACTGATGGGTGAAGGATTTTGCCTTTTTAAATGTTGAACAATCTCCTGGCTCACTAACACTGCTCGTGACACATATTTAAGCAATAGTTAGGGGTTCATCTTTCTGTGAGGAGATTCAGATTCCTGAATTAGGTGCATAACCCCCTAAAGAGTTTGACTGCTATGAGTTTGGGGGAGAAAATAAAACAATTTCAATAGGAACTCTACCTGTGATGTCAGCTTCCCAGCGTTCTGCATTCGCTCAATTTCCGCAGAAGACTTGATCAGCCGCAGGCGCTGCACCAGCTGCTGGACAGCCTGGACTTTGTTCTTGCTCCTGGCTTTGGCTTCAGTCACAGGCTGCATGTATGCAGAGTGAAGCTGTGCATGAGGGGGCTTCATCCAGTCATACCAAACCATATTTGTCTCAGCTTAAAATGAGAAGCGAAAAATAAAGTGACGACAAAACTAACAGCAGTGACTAGAAAGACCCAATTGCCAGACTCATTTGTGTAAGACATGGTAAGATCCGTGGTGTGGAACTCTGAGGGGCTGAACACAAACTTTTCAGGACTAAAGTAACTGAAGAGTTTGATCATTGACCATTCCCCTAGAAGGGCAAGATATTCTGGGGTGAATACCTGCTTTCCCGCCTCAAAATTCCAGTGTTCTTTGTAAGGATAACTAAAGGATACAGTTCGGAGGCAGCTTTATTCAAGCATCAATTTTATTTATGAACTGTTAAAGAACAATAACTGATCTCGACCAGCACTGTCGTTCTAGAGGCACTATGGCGTAACTGTGTCAAAAATGATAAATACTAACAAATTAGAACCTTAGTTAAAGTTCTGCATTCACCCATTAAAAAACCCCAAATCTCAGCACTAGAAAAAGAAGTCTATTCCTCACATTGCTCTACAAACTGTGGAGTTGATAATATGTGCAAATCTCATACCCAGCTCTCCCATTCCACCTGCTACCAATTCTCATTGTTAACAATTGGGGGGTACACATTTATATTTAGGGGTTCTATGAAATGGTCCCTATTTGCCTGAGTTATCTGATCAGAAAACTGATGGGGGAAGAGATTTCTACTTAGTGTTCAGGCCCTTTTGTTGTTTTCGGATGGCAGGCCGCACGTAGCATTCCAAACCATCTAAGTTGGGAGGGCTGTAAACTTCTAAGTCTAAAAGTCCTTCAGGCCAGTACAACCCAAACACACAAAACACCTCAGACTCACTGCCACCAAGCTGCTGTTGACTCCTAGCCACTCTATCGGACAGAGTAGGGCTGCCCTGTGAGTTTTCCAGGCTGCAAACTTTTGAGAACAGTAAAGGGGGGCAAAAATCCATGCAAAATTTTATTGGCTATCCATTAGTGATACCATGTTCATTTAAAACTAAAGATGCGTTCATGTGCACACTACATGGAAAATACTGATCTTTTAGCTAATGGATATAAATTCAATGGCAGTAATTTTAAAAAAATCTCTACTACGTATTCTGTGTGTGAAATCATAGCCCAATTTCCAAAAACCTTTAGATAACTCTGATTTCATTATTCTTTTCTTTTTCTACTGCTTTTAAGTGGTAAATTACTAACCTTAAGGATGATGGGTGAGGAAGGCTTCTGAGAAAAAGATTTTAAATGAGATTTTAACCAATCTGAATTAATGAAATTTAGACTGTTACACATGACAGCCAGCAACTCATTCAAGAAATCCAAAAGCTACTAAAAAGACCCTTTGGGCCTTTATGTATTATTTGAAGACATTAAAAAGTCCTGCTAATCAAACTGGGTCATGATCTCTTTAAAATAGAAAATATGTTTATAAAGTAATAAAAGCAATCCAATCAAGCATCTCAGACCTTACACATTCAAATGAGTATGTGGTTGGAGACTTTTTTTCTTATGGCTCTGTTTTAGAAACTGCCTTCAGGGTGGTTTATAAATCCTAATAAAACCAGACTAAAATTTTATAGCCAGGCACATTATTTTGGTAAAAAATTCTTATTTTCCAATTTGCTCTACCAAATTTAGTTTTAAGTGATTTCTGGATGATTAAAAATTAAATAAAATGCTTCTCAAACCTGAAGATTTATAGCAGTCACTTGGTTTAGAATGTGATGCTAGTTCTGAAGAAAGTCCCAGGGTAGGGCTCCCAGAATATTCCTACATGTAGTTTCACCAGAATAAATGTGGCGCACGACGCACCTGAATGGGTGCAGGCTTATTTGCTTGGTTCGTGGTTAATTGGGGAAACCTAAAAGTAGTACTTCTCAAACTGTACTGTGCACATGAAGCGCTTGAGAATCCTGCTTGGATTTCCCTCCAGTAGGTATGGACCGGGCCTGAGATTGTGCATTTTGAATAGGCTCCCTGGTGATGCTGAGCTGGTGTGAGTTAATAATCTGCAGATCACGCTTGGAGAATGCTGTCTCCTTTTGAAGGATGAGTTGAGAAAAGGTGAAGTGGTCCTCTGACAAGGAGAGGTCATTAATCTTAATAACAAACTGGTCAGTATCTTTGAAGGGTGGCCCATACCCATCCTCCACTTTAAAAAAATCCTCTCAGATTTCAAATTAGGACAGCCATAAAATAGTCTCTGTGAATTAATAATGGCTTGAAGACCTATCAAATGAACTAAATGAGTCTTTTGAGAAGACTTCTGTCCTTTTCATGGTGGCCAGGGAAATGCTGTTATAATAATCATTTTAGGAAATTGAGAACTTGGTCTAAACTTGACAGGAAGGTAAAGTGGGTTTTAATCCCTATCTGGCCGGATTGGATTTCCACTCCCATTTGTTACCTTTGAGTTTCGGTATTAGATGCTGAAATTCCTCTAGCAAATAGGCTTCGTCCACTCCAGTTAGAGCTAAGGCTCCATCGGTGCCAGATCGTGGACCATCCCAAAGTTCTCGACTGGGATCTCTCTGAGGCACAAAGAGTATGGCCTTGTGTGATGGTAACTGCTTTCCAGGAAGGCTTTGGAGGACCAGAATGCTATCGGGTTCTCGGAATCCACACAGATACAGAAAATTGTTATCTTGGTGGAAAGTGTAGGGGATATCGTTGCTCATGTAGTAGGTGGGGTTGGACAGCAGCACCACTGTCTGGTCTGTTCCTTTCTCTCCTTGTGCTTCCTTTTGGATCAGACACATTAGTTTGTGTCTGCGAAGTGCATATTCCACCTGAGATAGTCCTGGAGTCACCTCTCCTAGAAATAACAAATAACAATGATGCTCTGCATTTTTAACATGCCCAAAACTGAAAGTAGTTCATTATTAGCTGATGAAACTTAAGTTCAGCTCAATTAATACTAAATCTCCTCAGAGCTTCTAGGATAGAAACCAGGTTTCAAATTTCAATTCCAAAGCAGTGCAAACAAACATTGTGGGGAAGATAACAGCTGAATGTGGTCCTGCATGAAAATAAGGCTCAGATGGCTTCCAGCTCTTTGGTTCATTCTTTTACACATTTAGTCAAACATTACTGGACATCATTATGCAGAATGTTACAAAAAAAAAATGTTACAGGACAAATTAAAAAGTGAATACGTTTAAAAAAAATCATTTTATTAGGGGTTCATACAACTCATCACAATCCACACATACATCAATTGTGTAAAGCACATTTGTACATTCATTACCCTTATCATTCTCAAAATATTTGCTCTCCATTTAAGCCCCTGGCATCAGCTCATTTTTGCCCCTTCTTCCCCACTCCTCCCTCCCTCATGAACCCTTGATAATTTATAAATTATTATTTTGTCATATCTTACACTGTCTGACATCTCCCTTCACACACTTCTCTGTTGTTCATCCCCCAGGGAGGAGGTTATATGTAGATCCTTGTAATCGGTTCCCCCTCACCCTCCCTCCACCCTCCCAGTGTCGCCACTCTCACCACTGGTCCTGAAGGGATCATCCGCCCAGGATTCCCTGTGTTTCCAGTTCCTATCTGTACCAGCGTACATCCTCTGGTCTAGTCAGAATTGTAAAGTAGAATTAGGATCATGATAGTGGTGGGTATGGGGGGAGGAAGCATTTAAGAACTAGAGGAAAGTTGTATGTTTCATCGTTGCTACACTGCACCCTGACTGGCTCGTCTCCTCCCTGCGACGACCCTTCAGTAAGGGGATGTCCAATTGCCTACAGATGGGCTTTGGGTCTCCACTCCGCACTCCCCCTTATTCACAATGATATGATTTTTTGTTCTGATGATGCCTAATACCTGACCCCTTCGACACCTCGTGATCGCCCATGCTGGTGTGCTTCTTCCATGTGGGCTTTGTTGCTTCTGAGCTAGATGGCCGCTAGTTTACCTTTAAGCCTTTAAGGCCCCAGAAACTATATCCTTTGATAGTCGGGCACCATCAGCTTTCTTTACCACATTTGCGTATGCACACATTTGTCTTCAGTGATGGCATCGGGGAGGTGAGCACACAATGATCTGATTTTTTGTTTTTTTGATGTCTGATAACTGATCCCCTTCAGCACCTCGTGATCATGCAGGTTCGTGTGCTTCTTCGATGTGGGCTTTGTTGCTTCTGAGCTAGATGGCCGCTTGTTTACCTTCAAGCCTTTAAGACCCCAGCTGCTATATCTTTTGATAGCCGAGCACCACATTGCTTATGCACCCAGAAAAGTGAATACTTTATCAATTTATTGTTTCTCTAGTCTACCTTAGGTATTTAAACCTTTCAAAAAATAATTCCTGCCACCTAATGTTCTCCATAAATACATCTCCATGGAATAGACACAACATAAGCCTTCAGCAAAACTAACCTTTCTGTTTCATGGGGGAAGTATATTTAATAAATGTATTTCACATTTTCATAAATTACAAATATGGACATTATGAATTTAATACTTAGAAATTTTACTTATTTAACTTTCCAATTAAAATAATCATAATCCTGGTAGTCACATTCTATTTTGGGCTTGGTAAGAATAGAAATTTAAAAGTTTGGCAATTGGCCATAGTAATTGAGATTACTTCACTCTATAAGTAACTTTTCCTTTCTGCATAGAAAATATAAGCCATATGGCATGTGATTCTTAAGGCATGTGATCCTTTGACGGCTCCAACTCCTGGATCTGAACCAGCCAGCTAGGATGCTCTCAGAGGTCTGATCTCAGAAACTGGAGCAGAGTTCGACCACTACACTCTACTGCCTGTCTGAAAAACACGAAAACCCTTTAGCAGGATAAGCACTAATAGGCTGGAACAGGGAGAGATTTGCTTAAGATAAAATTCACTTTAGAAAGCTTTATCATGCTCACATTGCAAAATAGTACCATTGTACAATACTGTCATTTTGGTAAAAACATTAAAAACAAATATGCAAAAGTGGGAAAAACACCAAAGAGAGAAACGACATACCAATACGTTAAAAAGGTAGGATTACTGGGAGGTTCTGTATTCTTATCTATTTCTAGTCTCTAAAATTTTCTTTACAAATAAAATACTCTTGCTCTGAAACTTTTTGTTTCATACAGCAATGATTTTATGAGCATCTTTTCATATTTACAGATGGAGGTGTAATGTTCCTTTTCATTGTCTACAGCAGTTTTCAAACTATATTCCTTATTAATGTTGTATTATATTATATGCTGGCAATTAAACTGAGAAAAGTAAAAACCAATCATCCTTGACCCTACGTGGCCTTTAAAAAAAAATCCTGTAATGTGGACTATATCACACATGTAACAATGCCTGAATTTATCTTCAGTTTAAAGAATAAAACAAAATATAATTCAGTTCGAGGTTTATCTGCATGTATATTTGTCATTTCCCTCAATTCCAACCTCCAAAGGTGACTTCTATGCAGAATCTCATCTGAATTATTTCTGTGCTTTTATAAAAACAATTCTACAAATAGAAGGGGGCTTCAAAATATTCATGGAAAATTTCCATTCTATTTCCCATGAAATATCTGATTTCAAACTTTTTTATGTAATAAAATTTTATTACATACTTTTTCTTGTGACTTTTCTCATTATGATCTCGAGCTTGTTCAATGTTGAAGAGTTAACAATCATAGATCATTCAAATTTACTATGTGGTATACCATTATATGTCTAAACCACGATTTAGTCATTCATTGTTATACCGACGGAAATTTGGAGTGTATTTTCAAATACTTTTAGATGCCCCGAACATTCAAATGTATGAAACTTAATATATCATTCTAATGATCTTTTTTCAAATGGGAAGAGCAAGAGGTAGGAGGAATAACGCATTTGGTCATTTTATTTTAGCCAGTGAAACTCTGGCAAGTAAATTCTTAGGAGGAAGTCTAATATTTAAAACAAAAAGAACATCACCGACTCACTTGATTCTCTCTTATCTCAGCAGTGGTAAGATCCCTAGGTATCCTAGGAATATAGCTTGAAAACTGATACAGGTAAGGAAAAGAAGCATTATCTCTGTATATAAGTAGGAAAAGATATTCATGAAGTATTGCTGCATGAAAAATATATTTCGAAACAAGCTAGATAATACTGTCCTATTTATATTGATCAATCTTGAAGCACAACGCTGTCTGTGATAGGATCATATCTATCTGCCTTCAGGAAATCCAATCAATACAATTATTACTCTTATTTATGCACCAACCACTAAAGCTGGTGATGAAGAAATTGATGGATTCTACCAAAGTCTTCAGTCTGAAGTTGATCAAACATGCAATCAAGAAGCATCGATCACACCTATGAAACACATAATATTCCTCTGGTTCCTTGAGGGTTCCTCACCCCCCACTATCATGACCCTAGTCCTGTCTTTCACTTCAGACTAGGCTGGAGCATGTACACAGATACAGATAAAAGCTCACGACACATGGAATCCAGGTCAGATAAACCCCTCAGGTACAGAAATGGGAGTAGGGATACCAGGAGGGTAGGGAGAGGGTGGGGAGAAACCATGGGGAAAGGGAGACGTGGCTGGTGTAAAATATGAAATTAATAATTATAAGTTATCAAGGAGTCACGAGGGTGGGGGGGTATAAAAAGAGGAGCTGATACCAAGGGCTCAAATAGAATGTAAATGTTTATAAAATAATGATGGCAACATATGTACAAATATGCTTGATAGAACTGAAGTATAAATTGTTATAAGAGCTGTAAGAGCCCCCCAACAAATGATCTTAAAAATACAAAAGAAGCATTGATCATTCTTGGTGACTGAAATGCAAGAGCTGGAAACAAAGTATAACCTTGAGTCTATCCTACCTGAATTTCAAGAATATCTCAAGAATAGATTTGATGTATTAAACATTGCTGTGGGATGGCTGTAGAAGTGTTTGGGCTGGGTCCGGACCAAAGCAGACCCTTATACCAACTTCTCAAGAAGACAAATGACCTGGCTGAATTTCAAAGCACCTGCCTTCAGTGTTTCACAGAGCTTACCATCCCGGACAGAACCAGGCCCCCTCTCCCTAGCATTGTTTCCTGGGAACAACATGATTTACTAACAAAACATCACCTGGTCCGAAACTTGCAACCGCAGCACAAAGAACCTCCCTTCCCCTTACTGGCCCACATGCCTTTAAGCTCATCCCTATGTAAGTCCCATTGCCTCACTGTCCCATTGGGTCTTGGAACCCTCCCTGGGGCTCAAGATGCCTCCGTCCCTTTCCCTGCTCTCCCTTCCTCCTGGGAGTTCTTTTCCTGCCTCAATATAATCTTTCTCAACTTCACATTCCTGGCTAAATTCTATCTTTGTTATACGCCTCCGTCTCCAGCCTTTCAGGAAGGACTTCAAGAACATCATACAAGAAGAAAGCAAAAGGTCGTTAAAAAGACAGGAAAGAAAGAAAAGTCAAAGTGGATGTCAGAAGAGATTCTGAACCTTGCTCTTAACTGTAGAGTAACCAGGCATATGGAAGAAATGATGACGTGAAGGAGCTGAAAAAACTTCAAGACAGCTAGAGAAGACAAAGTGAAAATATTATAATGAAATGTGCACAGCCCTAGAGTGAGACAATCAAAAACGAAGAATACGCTCAGCATTATTTTAAGATAAACACAAGAAAAAATTCAAGCCTTGAATTGCAATCTTGAAAGATTCTCTAGGCAAAATACTGAATGATGCAGGAAGTTTTCGAGAAGATGGAAAGAACACAGAATCACTGTACCAAAAAGAACTAGTCAGCATTCAATCACTTCAAGAGGTAGAATATGATTAAGAACCAATGGTACTGAAGGAAGAAGT